CAGTTCTGGACAAGGTCCGTTGTCAAACTCGAGAGAATGACGGGAAATGTACCGCCAGGTCGATGTATAGTTAACTATAGTAAGCGTCAAGTAAGGCTCTGCTTGCTTGCTTGCATCCACTCCGCCACACAAGGTCGGCGGGGCCGCTTAGCGCGCACAGCGACAGGCAGCAGCTGTGGCTAAACGGCCGTTTGACCACGTCGACAAGGCGGTATAAGGGCCCTCTCCTTGACTGTGAAGGCTATGACTCTTCTGTAGTGAAGGAAGAAACGGTCAGGGCCTGCAAGGAGTTTGCCGGGGGAGGAGGGAGGAAGGAAGGAGAAGAGATAGGGCAAGACAGGCCGGCATGGACATGGACATGGTGGACGGCGGCGCATTTTAAGGCAAAGAAGGAGAAGAAGAAAAAGTCCCGAGAAGACGGCCAAGGGGCCAGGGTCATAGGAAAAAGGATGATAAGCAAGTACCCCGACTCGCTGACGATCGCACGTTTCCCTTCTCTCCAGTTAGACGGCGATAGAGGCAGGTAACAGGCTGACGATGGAGAGACGAGAGACGAGACGACGCTGCGGATGGAGTCGAATGGGCGCTTGCAGGCGAGCGGAGACAGGATTCGCATGGATAAGTATCGAGACCCAGGTCATGCATGATATCTCCACTTATAGGAGGCCACTCAGAATGTAGCATCGCAGTGTCGACGATGGTGCTATTCCCGTCCACAAGAAGTATGTTCAGGCTGGCTGGCTCGATGCTTGCTTCAAGTTCAGTTGCCGGGCCGAATCGTAAATCTGTTCAACCTGCAGACGTTGCTGGGCTGGATGTCAGATCGTACTGCTCCAGTATAATAACTAATATTATAGATAATGCAAAAAATAGCTCGAATGTCCCTGAAGGAGATGACATGTCGATGCAGAGGCCGTCACAGCATCCCCAGTCTGTGATACGGAGTGAAAAGGCCCATGTCAACAGAATAGCCTTTTGATCTGAGGGATCCGTTCCACGGTCCATCTCATGGAGACTTCCAGGGCCATCCGTGGGTGCCGTTCCGTGCCGTAGAAAGGAGTAGCTGATCCAGCGAAAAATTAGCATTAGTCGAAGTCGTTTAACGAGCTACCAGAGGCTTTGACTGGCTAATTAGCAGCATGGGGAACATGCGGAAGCGCCGAGCCATCTCCATCACGGCATAGCAATGCTCAATAATGAAAAGGGTACTCCTCGCCCCTTGGCCGACCCGCGAGCGATGATTTGCTTCATGCACGGAGTCACTCTGGGCGCTAACTCCTGTCACGTCCCATAATAAGGAGCAACAAACCAGGGAGAGAGAGCTCAGAGAAAGAGAAACGTTCCCTTGCCGTCTCCTGGTGGAGAAGTCTCGCTCGATATCAAATAGCACCGAGGCCCATGTATCCGTTTGGCTCAGTACCTGCCTCTGTGACTGGGAAGAAGGAAATTATGCATATTCTAGAGCCAGCCCTGGATCGGAGCAAAGAGCTGGAAGTAGATAATGCGTGAAGGACGCTGCAGGTCGATACCGAGCGACGGCGCGGCTCACTGGCCAGAGGCACATCCAGTCACATCGAAGAGGCACAGCTTTGCTGCATGATTCGCCCACTGACAGCTCCCATCCCTGCCCGAAGAAGCAAGCAGGAAGTTTAGCTATTCCTGTCCTTCATGGAGGTTCCCACATGGTGCAAGAGCGAAAAGACGAAGTATCGTCGCCTTTCTGAGTCTGCGTCTTTGCCACCGTTGAAGGGTCGTATAACTAAACAAGCCAGACGATCACAGCAACTAACTAGTTAACTTAGTGAGGGTCAAGCAGAAGAGTTTCTCCTGTCCCTGAGCCCGCTGCTGATAGCACGAATTACGTGCATTAATTCGTATGTACGGGCCTAATGATGGATAACTTGCTGCAAGGCTGCCTTTGTGGCTGTGAGCGCATGAGGCGACTGTCCCCAACCGCTGCCTCCATGCTTCGTATAATCCTTCGGCCGGCCATGTTCACTGGCTTCTCTCCGTAGGCCAGGTCCCTGGATCTCATGAAAACCTCAGCTCTCGATGTATGCATATCATAATGGCCAGCCTGCGCCAATCGACTGTTCGTCTGCGTTGTACCTGGTGATCGATGATATCAGAGAGACGGAGAGCGACTGCTTCATAGCCGATAACTCGCGCGAGAGGGAGAAAAACAAAGCATTGAGAAGCGATAAACTAATCCGGCGGGCGATTTCTAGAGCTCACTGACCTTGGCTATGACTCCAGTGATTATCTGTAGACGCGCGCAGGGTCAACTGACGCTGCTGAAGATCTTCGTTTTGCTGCTGTTTGTAGATGTACATCGCCGGCTACTTCTGTACTTCTGGTGTTGTATATATATTTTTTGATCACCTCATCATGATATTCAACCCCCCGTTCGCGTTGCACTGGATGGAGACTTCGCTTGTCCGACCTCCGAGAGATGAAAGTTGATTTGATATTTTCGTTTTGATATACATATTAATACCATACGCAAGAAAGTAGTAGAAGATAAGAGGAAAATGTGAAAGATCAGACTTCGTTCCGGACAAACTCCTAAGCCAGGTAGATATTGAAAGACACACGGAGAGAAAATAGTAAAAGCGATACCAGTCATATAGCAAGAAAAGGAGTGTTTTTTTTTTTTTTTTGGCGGGAAATGGCCCCGGGCGCAGTGATGGTCGACAACTCATAGTGTACGAAGCAAACGAACATCGGTCGGTTGGGCGAGGAGCAGAGATAGATGAAGAGACCGAAGAGCCAAACACTCTCTGTTTATTTGGCAGCAAAACGCTCCTTTCTCTTCTCCATCGCAACACGGTCTGCCTCACTAAACTTCTCTTTGCTGCTGTTGTTGTTGCTGTTGCCAGCTTCGTTGCGGCCGCCTCTGCGTGGGCCTCTCCCCCTTCCCCGTCCGTGGAAGTGTCTACGCTTTCCCCGGCCGCTGTCTCCATCATCACCCCGTCCTCGCTTCCGGGTGGGCAAAGCTTCGTCCAACCCTTTTATTTTGGCTGGCTCATCACTCACGGGGCCGAATCTCTTGGCTCTCGCAAGTGCCTTTTCAGCCTCCGTCGCAACGGATTCTTCGACAGCTCCAAACTTCGCAGCACGGGCTTTCCGCTTCGCAAGTTCAGCATCGGGGTCCGTGGTTGCAAGGCCTCTGCTGTAGTCAACGGCAGGTTTCTCTGTGCCCTTCTTCTCTTCGGTAGCGGCTTTCTTATCAGTGCCGTTTGTCGCATGTTGTTCATCTACAGGCTTTGCTTCCGCCGCACAGGTTCCGGCAGCGCCAGCTGAAGTCGTTGTTGCAGTGGCAGCTTCGGTCTTCTCTTCTGGCTTCGCAGCTTTCGCCTTTTGCGCAGTAGCAGGCTCGGTGACGGTCTTTTGCTCTGGAGCCGCTGCTGGAGCCGCTGGGGCTGGCTTGGTAGCTGCAGGAGCGGTCTCGGTATCGTCGTCCCAATCGATAACGTCTTCAGCCGCAGGTGGAGCTGGAGCCGGCGCGGGAGCAGCAGCAGCAGCAGCTTTATCTGCTTCCTGGAGCCGCGCAACCATATCTGCCTTCTTTCCCGTGTGACTGAGGCCGCGCGACTTGAGAATTTCAACCAACTCGGCGTTGGTCTTTTTGCTGTATTCCACTGCCATGATGACGACTGGTGTGCGCGATTGCGTGTCAACGGAAGGAGAACGTAGGATATTGAGATATTGCAGACAGTATCGACTCAAGTGAGCTCTGTGATGTGGGCTTGTGAGAGATGTAGCAACTTGGAAGACTGGGTCGGAGTAGAGGCCTCCTGGGAGGACGGAGGAGGCAGGCGTCGAGCGTTCAACGGCGGCGGGAGAGAAAGAGGGCTAAGAGCAGCAACACAGTAGCATTGCCTTTGATCAATATAAAGAAATGCAGCGTCTCTAATTCAGCATCTGCTTCTGCTTCTTCTCGCTGCCATCGCCTTCGACTCGTTTGTTGCCTTTGACGTTTGAAAAAAAGTCGCGTTGGAGCTTCCGGATTATGTAAGCAAGCCATCGCGCTAAGCTTTTGTGTTCTTGGCAAAAATCAGGTGATGCTTATATAAATAATTACTAAGCGGGTTAACAAAATATAAGTTCGATATGGAGATATCAGACAAAAAGACGAAGAAAGTCAAGGAAGAAGACAAGGGGAGCTCAGTTCAAGTCAGCCTTGCGAAGATGACAGAGGATGGACCTCGGAATTGCAGATTGTTGGGTTTTTGATCCCTGCCTTTATCTGAATACGTGTTTCCAGTGCTTGTTCCACGTCGGCAGCCGCCGCAAGCTGCGCCACTTTAAAGATCACCAACTGTGGCGCCCGAAGGTCGGGTCGTCTTTCGTTGGGATAAAATCTGCACTATGACATCAAGCCTACGGGGTGAGAGTAAACACGGAAGGAAAAAACCGTTGTAACATTATCAATGCGTTAGTTAGCTGAAAACCTTGGGAATTAAAAAAGAAGAAGAAGATACCCATCCCATTCAACCTTCTTTTTTGTTCGCTGCCCTATTTCAATCTGCCATTGGTTGAAAGTGTGTACATCGGAGGGGGGAGAAAAGGCGAGAGGAAAGAGATAGTGCGCTCCACACATCGATAGCTGGGGCCCAAGGTGAGTTGGTGTATATACACCTTGGGCAACAGCTTGACAAATAGAAGACGCACAACATAGTGGTACATGGGCAGCGCAAGCTCCGTAAAAGCAGAGCAGTGCTGAAAACTGTGGCAAAGTAATAGGGAGTAGCTTGGTTCAATCGTTCTAGATGCCTAGATGAGCCTTATTTCTGAACTTTGGTCTTCTTTTTCGGCCGCTCTTCTTCAACATCATCCATCTCAGCGTCGCTATCTCCACTGCTGCTCGCGTGTTCAGAGTCGAATTCTTCAGCCACTTCGGAGTCAGAGTCTCCGACGAAGTCTTCGTCGGGAGACTCTGAGTCTTCAGCTGCAGAGCCACGGTCCTCCTGGACACCGGCGTCGTCATCACTCGAGTCCATCATCTGGTCGTTCTCGAGGGCAGTAGCAATGAGAGTGGATGCCTATGCGGTGGGATGTTAGCATCTGATTGGTAGAAGTAAAACAAAAGAGCAAGTGGAACAGATGGGCCTACCTCTTCAACCATCTCGTTCTTAAACCGGATGTTCTTGGCCTTGAAGAAGTCTTCTAGTGGCTGCTGTTCCTCACTGTGAACGGAATATGTCAGCATATGAGCTAATGTAATGTATATCGGGGAATATACGGGACGCCATACCGGTTGATATTGCTAAATTGATGTTCGCCTTGTCCCCCCTTGAGAGTCATGGTGATGTCGAAAGTTCGGCTGGCTGAGACTGTACCACCGACTCGGGACATGGTGATGACTGATATGTTTTCTATTTGAATGTATGTGGCTGGCTTGGGGACGAACATGAAGCTCTTGTCAAGACAGAATAGAAGACCCTCGTTGGCCTTGGTTGAACATTTCACACCGCTATGGCCGTGATGACTGCAGGATGTCAGCTACTCCATACCTATAGAGAGGCGGCAATAACAGCAGTAAATGGCTTGTCTTACCTGGCAAAGTCTCTGGATGGCATGATGACCTTCTTTCCTGAGAGTCCTCGGAAGACCTTTGTGACGACTTGATGAATGGGCTCCTCATAGTGAGCTTCAAGCTTATCCTTGTATCGGGTTTGAAGGAGCTCACTGGGTGACGTTAGTTAGGCATCCACAGTAAATTTTTGTCTTTTAACAAAACCTAGGGGTCCAAGCTTACTCGGTCATATTTAGATCAATGCTGATTTCATCGTCTAGCTTCAACTGCATGACCAGGAACGGGTATCTTGTTTGGCCCTGTCGGAGAGGCGGGTCCAAACCGAGTGTAATAAGTGTGTGGGTGTCATCGTTCTTTGGAAGGAGGAAGAACTTCTTGATAGACTGATATTGAATCTTGTAGTCGTACGTCTTACCCCTGAGTCGGAATGAGCTTTCGTACATATCCATGTCGAAGCGACCTCTGCATGAAGAACGTTAGCAAAAATAGACCAGATGAAGAAAGAAGAAAAATAATTGTAAAGATCCCGAATGAAAGTCTCCAAACGAACCTGGGAGTAAGATGCAGGACATCGAGGAAGGTAGCAAAAGTGTCGCCGGCAACATCACCAATCTCTGCCTTGTCCATGAGCGTCTCATAGAACAAATTGGCAGCATTCTGCTCTTCAACCTCCTCTTCGCCGTCGGCACTCTTGTTTTCTTCACCTTCACCCTGCTCGTCGCCTTCTTCCTTCTTGGGGACTGTTCCTGGGATGTAGAATCTCATCTCGACAAGCTCGTCTTTGCCCAAGCCGGCCTTGCGTCCTCTATTCTTCGTGCTGCCCGCAGGCTGTTCCTTGGCAGTAGATGCATCATCTGTGGGCAGGAAGAATTCAACGGCGACTTCATTCCTGCCCGCGAGATTTGTGTTTGATATTTCCGAGTAAGGGACTTCGAAGGCAGGACGGTTCTGGACGTTGAAGCTGAGCTCTGCTTTGCCGAACTCGGCCTTGCCCCAGTTCCAGCCTCGCAGGGCATGTTCTCTGTTCGTGAGGTTGACGCCGTACCATATCTTGAACGCTTTACTGGCTCTGTCGAAGTCCTGTGGCGCCGCCTTCTGGTTAGCCATGCGCATTATATCAAAAATGTATCGACTATTGGAGGTAGCAACAACGTACGTCCTGTTCGAACCCGTCGAGCTGGATAACTCCACAGGTACGTGAGAATATCTTCAGCTCGTACCCTTTCGCCGCTCTGCTCCATTCAGCAGCACCGATATTGCTCTTGTCGAGGGTGAAGGTGTCGCCGCCGCCGGACGGCTTCCAGCCCATGCCGCTCTCCGCGAGCTTGCATTTCCCGGACTGCTTCGACAGGTCAAGGTATATGTTTTCGAAGCTCTCCCTGGCACCGAGTCAGTCTCACCAGTCGCCAGGCAGCAGTCTTCAATTGGGGGCGAAGGGAGCAGCTTACATCTTGACTGGGTCGCGCGTTGCGTTGCTGCCGGTCGAACGAGCTTCACCGAGAAGCCACGAATGTCAACCAGCCACTCAATCACCACGTCTTCCGCTGGACTCGAAGCTGCAGTCTCTCCTGCAGGGGTCTTCTTCGCTCTTCCGGCTTCTCTTTCTCTCTGGCTGTCGTCCTTTTTTTTTTCTTTCTTCTTCGCTTCTTCTTCTTCTTCTTCCTTTTTTTCTGTCGCGTTTTCGGCTTCACGAAAGCTCTTTATCAGAGTTGGCGCTAAGCCTGATTAGGAACATCTCTATATTTTCTATATTTTCTATATTTTCTATATATTTTCTATTTCATTTTTATATTTTATATTTATATTTAAATCTTTATTAATTATTATTATATTCAAATAGTCGTTGATAGACTGAGTACGGAGCAGTAACTGGAATAATATCTCCTGCTCTGTACTGCAGTGTTGAGTCTGATTGTACTCCGTATGGACATGCTTGATATCAGCTACCTTACCCCGAGTATCTCTCGACTGTTTGGAGTTATCTTCCTTAGCAGCCGGAGACAGCGCAGGCTTACTTTGAGCTGAATAACGGCATAGTCATCCCTGAGACACTGGGCAGGCTCCATGGTGCAGGAGTTCACTCTGGCTTTGCTTTAATGGCCTTTTGGTAACGGAGTAAACGGCCAGCTATGTAGAATGTTAGCAAGACAGACAGACATAAACTGCAGCTTACCACCAGCTTCTCCTACTAGACACTGTCTATCCACTGTCTATCCACTGTCTACCACTGTCCTTTCTACTATCATTGTCACTCCCACTATCCTGCATCTAACTGTCCTGTCCTGTCCTGTCCTGTGGGCTCCAGGGCTGTCCTGCTCTCGCATCAACTTTTGTCCGGCCCCCTTTTGTGCTTCCACTTTTCTTCTTCCAATCCATCCTTCCAACCTCCAGCCCTGCGAACTTCATCCCTTCGACCTGCTCGACCTTCGAACTTCTCGACTCCCCGGCCCTCGACCCTCGCCGCCCGCGGTCATTCACTCTTTTTGCTTGTTGAGCTGGCGTCCTGGAAGCAGATGGAGTAGCCTCTGCTGGCAAAAACGGACACAGAGCTCAGCCTGGTTTTACTGACCCTTTTTCACTCCTTGTTTTCTTGTCTTGTAACGGCTTTCCTTCCTTTTTGTGACCTGTAGATCGCGCCATGTCCGATCTGTTTATGCCCTGAGACTGTTCTTTGCTGCGCTTGAGACTCTCTCTCTCTCTCTCTGTGTGTGTGTGTCAGGCCGGTCTGCTCGTCTCTTCCTTGTCTAGGAGATCCCAGGTGGCTGGCATCTGAGATCCCCCCCGTGTGCTGTTTTTCAAGGCGTTTTTTATCTCTCACCCTCAGCGACGCGGCCATGGGACACCTCTCCCAGCCCGGATGGGCGCCGTTGGCCTGCAACTTCAACCTCATCCTCAACGTCTTCCTCGCCCTGCCTCTCGCTCTCACCTCCCAGGCCGCCCTCTTCGAGCCGACGCCTTCTCCGAACCTCGACCTCAATCCGCTCGGCCGCATTGCCCTGGTGGGGAATTTCGACGCTGCCTCGCTCTACTCCTACAAGCCTACCAACAAAGAAGGCCTCGCCGGCTTCAATGGCTCCCTCAAACAGTCGCTCATCGCCCCCTTTCCCGACGGCTCCCTCTTCCCCATATCCTCTGCCGACGCCGATATCCTGGCCATGTGCCCGTTAAAGGACAAGGATGGCTCTGTCACCAGCGTCGTGGTGGGCGGTAACTTCACCAGCCTTGGAGGCGTCGAGTCCAACGGCGTGGCCGTTTTCGACTACAAAAACATCCGTGTATCTGCCGTGCCTGGTCTCTCCGGAACGGTCAACGCACTCTACTGTGACAGTGACTCGAACATCGTCTACGTCGGAGGAGAGTTCAGAAACGCAGAGTCCACCAACGCCGTCATCTGGTCTCCCAAGTCGGGCCTTTCCAACCTGCCCTTCAGCGGGTTCAACGGACCCGTCACATCGATTGTTCCCGCAAAGGATGGCCGCGTTGTATTTGGTGGCTCGTTCGATGGCCTAGAAAACACAACAAGCCCAGAGAGGAAGGACCAGCAGATTGTCAACCTGTTTACTGCCGAGATCTCTGTCGGCTCAGGCTCGACTGCTGGAGGCTTTGACGATCCTAGGAGCATCATCTGCCCTACCGATGGCCAGTCTGGCCCCGGAAAGACCTGGTTGCTCACAGACAATGCCCCGGGCTACTGGCGTGCTAACTTGCACTATGGGTTCAGACCAACTAAGCTACGCGTTCGCAACGTTGTTATGGACGGAAGAGGAACCAAAACATTCAGATTTACAGCCCTGCCCGACGGCGGGATCCTGAACATGACCTATGTCGACCCCGAGAGCGGCCAGAAAATTCCATGTGATGCTAGATGTCCTCTCTCTAACGATCCAAAGTATGCTACTCGAGACTTCTCCTTTGTCAACAATGTTGGCATGAGCTCGTTCCAGCTGGAAGTCTCAGAATGGTACGGACAGGGTGGTGGTTTTACTGGCATTGAACTGTTCCAGGATGGTACGATTGCTCCCTCTCGCTTCCTAACTTTGATCTTTTTATTCTTTCACTTTACTAACTAGCTATCGACAGATATTTATGCATATGCTGTTAATGACCTCAATGAACCCACCTGTGCTGGTATTCCGTTTGCCTCTACTGCTACCACGACTGGTGAATGGAAGGTCCAGCCATCTCACGATAGTTCTTCTGACTATTTAACCACCCAAATCGATGCATCTACCGACACTTCCACCTCAGTCACCATACAGCCAGACATCAAGCAGTCGGGTAACTACTCCGTCACCATTTTCACACCAGGCTGTATTCAGGATGGAACCTGTGCCACCCGTGGAACCGCCAACGTAACTGCCACTCTCAAGTCTTCCGAAGATGCACCTATCGTGGCCTCGATATCACAGACCAACAACTTCGACAAGTTTGACCAGATCTATGTCGGCCATGTTGATGCTAGCACCAGCAAATTCAGACCATCCGTCACAATAACCCCCCGCCATGACCAAGGCATGATCGATTTTGTGGCATCTAGAATCTGGTTCCAATTGATTTCATCTACTGGCGGTTTGAATGGACTGTATGAATACGACCCAAAGGCGACAACTGTTGACACCAACTTCACTCAGTCTGCCATCAACAAAGCCGGTACTGAACTTGAGCCTGAGGCAATCATCAACTCTCTCGTGTGGGACAAGGATACCTTATTCATTGCAGGAAATTTCACAAAGGAACCTATTAGCAACATTGTGTCACTTTCAGATGGGACATCGTCCCCCTTATCACAGAATGGTTTGAATTTCGCGATCAAAACTATGCAGCTTCTTGACGGTCTGCTCTACGTTGGTGGCAACTTTTCAAACACTGCCGTTGGGGATAATGACAAGCTTAGCAGTGTTGCCGTATACTCCATATCTGACAAGACCTGGCACTCCCTTGGTGCTGGAGTTAACGGCCCTGTCACTTCACTCGTCCTGTTCCCAACCAATGTTACCTCAGGCAAGACCGAAACAACTATCGCAGTTAATGGATTATTTACAGAGATTAATGCGGCCGATGGTCACCCTGCAATACCCGCGAATGGATTCGCTGTCTGGGTACCGTCAGCAAAGAAATGGCTGAAAGAACTGGACATTGACCATTTGGCATACGTTGGCCAGCTCACTGCTTCCAGTCAGGTAGGCGATGAGACCCTCTTGGCTGGAAATCTTGCTTCTGGTGGAATCGCTTCACACGGTGCTGTCAATCTAGTTGACAACAACAAGCTTGGCCTCCGTGCACTACCAGTAAATATAGAGCTCGGTCAAGGTATGCTACCTGAGCGTAATGCGAAGCGCAAACTTGCAACAGGTGGCAGCAGCGGAGTCATCACCGGTCTCTTTGATACCGAAGGTGGTCGCAACCTCACAATGCTAGCTGGTCACTTTACCGCAAAGACATCTGACAACTCTGTCGTCAATAACTTGGTCTTCCTCAATGGCGCACAACACGATGTCGTGACTGGCGCCGGTCCCGGGATTGATGCAAACTCAACCTTCTTATCCCTTGCAGTTAACAAAGACATGCTTTTGGCCGGCGGGAAAATCTCTGGAAAAGTTGCAGATGCAAATATCAAAGGCCTCGTTGTCTATGATCTCAAGAATGAACATCGTTACGCCTCCAACCAGCCTTCCGCATTAGACGGCGACGATGTTGAAGTTCGCGCCATTGCTCCTCGTCCTGGCACCAACGACATCTTCGTTGGTGGAGTCTTCCAATCTGCCGGCTCTCTGCCTTGCCCGTCAGTTTGCTACCTTGAACTTGATGGCAACCAATGGAATCGCCCGGGTACATCCCTACGAGGAGATGTTACCGTCCTCCTTTGGACAGAGAACGATCAACTGCTCGTTGCTGGAAACCTCACTGTTGAGCGTAACGCGACTATGCTCGCTAGATACAATGCAAAGGAACAAGAATGGTCCACTATCACAGGAAAGAACTCCGAAAGCATTAATGGTGAAGTGCGTGCCCTTGGCCTTTCACAGAGCGATGGCTCAAAGTTTTGGATCGCCGGGAAATCCGCTGATGGAGCCTCGTTCCTTGTTCACTACGACGGCACTGAATTCCGCTCGGCTGGTCGCTTGTTTGGAGAGAGTACCCTAATTGAGGGGCTGCAAGTTCTTCCACTCACCAAAACTCACGGCAAGACCGATCTATTAGAGGAGAACCAATCTCTTCTAATCACAGGCAAACTCCAGCTGCCCAACTTTGGATACGTGTCTGGAGCCCTCTTCGACGGAACTACACTTGAACCATTCATACTTTCTAGTATGTCTGATGGTCGACCAGGGAGCATATCTGGAATATTCTCTGAGAACAAGATCAACGTTGCTGGCCACCGTAAGTCCAATCCCTAACATATCACATTCACTGCTTCAAAAAAGAAGAAGAAGAAGAAGTCTTGCTAACTCTTTGATGCTAGGTGGACAAAAACCAAGAGGCATCGTAGTCCTCATCTCTTTCTGCATAGCCCTAGGCTGTGTCTTCTTCCTTGTTCTCTTCGGCATTCTCCTTAACCGCTACCGCCGTTACAAGCAAGGCTACGTCACTGCACCTCAAGGCACAGATCGAAAACCAGATCTCAATCGCGTTCCTCCAGAATACCTTCTGGAGTCCCTCCGCCATCGGACCCCCGGCACACGCATCTAATTAACAGAAGCACGCAAAAGCTGGACGGCGCTTACTTTCCTCTTTCATCTCCTCTTTCTCAAAGTTCACGTACAACCCACCTTTCCTTTAGACCGCAAACTTTTCCTTCTTTCGTCCTGGAATCATTTTCCTTTCTCTCTTACGGTACTTTTAATCGGCGTTAGGAACCTAGGAAAGTGAATACCCTCTTCCAAAACTAATGTTCGGCGTTTCAGGATCTGCTGTTTGGTCTCTCCCTGTCTTTTCTTTTCTTTTTCCCCCCAACCTTGTTCAATCCCACCCTCATACCCTTGTTACTTGACCTTGATCATATGCGCCTGCTGGGCTAATTCAGTTGCATATGGACGTAATTCGACGTTATCTGAACTTCCATACACGACAACACATCAGTCAGGCTTGGCTTTCCTTGACTAATAATAGCCCCTTCTGCAGAGTACTAGGCTTTCGCGGGGGAATGTTCATTTAGCTAATTGTGTACTCCAACCATGCGTTTACATTCTCTGTCTTGATTTTCTTCCTGTTAGACTCCCCGGCTTCAAATACCTCTTAGATAGCATAGCCATCGCACTTCGAAAGATACTAATGGAAACATGACCTGTGTACTGTTACCTTTATCTGGCAGCTAGTACCAGCATCTTAACCTACGGGTTTACTGCGTGTAGATATTGATTTAATCGGTGGCTGTAGTAGTCGGCCCTCCCACGATGATGGCGAGAGTGGTCGAAGTTAAAGTTCTTGGCCTTCTCCCTCTTCCGGCGCTAAAGGCGTTAAGTTTCGGCATCCCACGCCTCGGCCATAGCTAAATCGAAGCTCCATCACTTCCTCGCCAGAGCTGCGGCTCACAACAGACGATATCGTTTCTCCTTCACCTCCGTTACCTATCCGGGCATGAATATGGGATTTTCTCTAGGCTTTAGCCTGTCTCTTAATTCTGATCCTAGAAAGGGAATTTGCTGAAATTCAACCGCACATCTGCGGGGGGGGAATTATCTCAAGACGATGCGCTCACGAACAGGCTGGTAAGGACCACTAACAGCTCTACCCTCTAAAGATAGTCAGTGGTGTGCCCCTTACCACTGCTTTCCTACTTCTTATTCGATCGCCGACTAACTTTGGCCGGTTATCGCCTGCTAGCCTCACATGTCGAACGCGCAAGTTGAAATGCGACGAGCAGAAACCGCGATGCTCCCAGTGTCGGAAGGCGGGTAGAGAATGCCGTCTTAGCGAAGCCGTTGTGTTTAGACATCAGCAAAATGCCTCAATGAACCAGGATGAAGGTGGGGTCGGGCCTAGTAGCCTGAAGGGATTCTATTCTTATAAGAATACATTTGGCGCAGATAGTGTCTGGCTGGATATACCGAAGGAAGGTGGGTATCTTTTCGCTCAGAGCTCACACGATTCTCAGAAGAGTCGACTAAGCGGGTGCTCACTTTGTAGTGGTGTTTGTTGATAACTCGGACCCTTACGCCGATGAACTGGAAGAACAATTCACTGCAGATACCCCTTTAGACACTCATGGTGAACCCGCATGGAGTCATGGTGGGGGATACCTGCCGCCCTTTACGGAAGCTCAAACACATGGCCTAGATGCGCTTTCGGCCGCAGCAACGGCGGAGAACCATCCCATCTATCAATCTGTTGCAGATCACATTGCTGAGAATAGTAACAGTCATACCAGGCTTGAGACTACTGAACACCCAGAAGCAACAATATCAAGCTCATCTCCAACTATTGCCAGGATCCCAACTGAAGCATCTCCTGGGTCTCTGTCACTACCACTATCGTCACCCAATAATAACGTCGGTTTCGTGTTAAATGCGCCCCCCAATGGTATGCCACAACCGATTGACCCTGGTCTTCACTCCCCTGAGAATCAGAGGGCCACTTCTTCGGTTTCTCAAGGCTTGACACAGGTAATGAGAGTTACCTCTTTAGTTGAAACTGAGCATGAAGCGGCATTTTTCCTTCGACATTTTTCAGAAGGACCTGGCCGGTGGTAAGTGCAAATAGTGACCACTATAGAATGCCTGACATAGAGAAAGCTAACTAGATTTGCCATTTACTTGTATCAAGGATGGATCTATTTGATATTGAACGTTACTTTAGTTCACAGGTCCCAGTCAGAGCACTCTCTAGTCCGCTCCTGAAATATGCTGCATGCGCATATTCTGCAAAGCAGATTGGCCGCATTAAGGGGACTAATGCGGTTACTGGAGGTTCCTGTTTGAGACAGGCTATGATGGAGATATGGCCTGATACAGAAAGAGTTGACTGGAATTATTACGGGGTGAAGTATTATGAAAAGGCGATCCAGCTTCTTATGGAAGAATTACAACACAATGGGAATTTTTCTCCACTATCTGGGTCACAAACAAGTGGAAACTTACAAGCAGAAGACCCTGGTGGGCTGGAGAACACTAGCAGCAAAAGACGGAAGGTCTCCATTGCTGAGGTTCAATTATCTAGTCCACATTCTGACGATGTCCTTGCTGCCATCTCAATTATCTTTGCCTACGAATTTTTGGATAATACGAGCCCAGTATGGGATAGGCATTTTAGTGGTGTGCAATCTTTACTAGACATTATGAAAGCAGGAATTGTGCCATCTGAAAAGCAAAATTCATCTGGAAACTTGAATGTTGCAACCTCGAAACTACCTCGATTTTCGAAGGTAGGGAAAGCAATCTTCTGGAATTTTGCGCGTCAAGACTATCTTTCAGCATGTAAGTCCTCCCTGTCTGAGAGTTATCAAGGAAAAATGCTGAGTGTGTCATAGTTATCAATGAAACCCTAACCAGATTGGTCACTAGTGACCTAACATTATGGACAGAAGCTGGGCTTATTCTCAATGATGCAGGATTTTTTCAACAAGAAAGCGCTACTGAACATAATGAATCCACGAAGGAAGACATAATATCAAACACCCTGATATGGATCCTTTCAAAAATCGTTGATTTCATAGCTGTTGGTGATAGTAGAAACCATGGAGAAAGTTTCACTGGAGCATCCCAAAATACCCTCCTGGATAGATGGAATCGGCTTCAGGCAGAGCTAGACACATGGTTTCATGCGTTACCTGACACGTTCAAGCCTTGTGCTAGGATCGACTCGCCTCCAGGACCTCACTCTTCCCAAGACGTATGTCCATTCCAGGAGATTTGGTACAGCATCCCAATGTGTGCCTCGGCGATGCAACACTATCATATGGCCCGCATTCTCCTACTCATCAATAAGCCACACGAGTCAACAGCACGCAGAAGTACTGTTACAGACAGACTAAACTCCTACAGATCCATTGAGAAAGAGATTCAAAACCATAGCCGTGAAATCTGCGGGATATCTGCTTCTCGGCTCGAAGCATCTGCACGCATTCATTCTATTCAGCCATTATTCGTCAGTGGCCAATGTTTGACCGGCGAGTTAGAACGGAAGGCCATTCTACAACTTCTCTGCAGAATCGAGGCAGATCTCGGCTGGGCTACTAAGTATCGTGTTCAGCAACTCCTTGCAGAATGGAATTGGGACGAGACTGTCCTTGATTCTCTCCCAGGGTGATGATAATCGGATCAAGGGGAGAAAAAGCTTTCTTCGAGCAGAGTAAAACACCGACGGATACACACGGCCTACTCCAGGCTTATGCGTGCAGCTATACCGGCTCACTGCATGGATTGTTTCCCCACCGTCATTATTTAAGACATTTATATGGACGTATGAACGTCGAGGATGGGATGAACTGGACCTATATTGGCAAATGATCATACAAGGCCGGGCAGCTTGACACCGTTGTCTGCAAAAGAAGTGTTCAAAGGAGTAGTCAGCCGGGATCACCGCTATAATCCAGAACTCTGAAGAGCTATAACCGCTCCATGGTACTGCCATAGCCACTGCTACAGACTTTCAAAGTAGCTCTGCCAGGCACTGAAGCAATATGAAAAGGGACTCTCAAGATAGGGAAACCTGATACAAGTAGCCATAATCGGCTTAGTCAACTAACTAGTTAGCTGGCCATCACGACTGTAAAAATCTACACAAAGCAACTATGTTTCAGCACTCGACTTTCGTGGAAGCACGCCTTTAATAGTGAGTACGGAGTAGTTAACTATGCATTATGCTAAATCGGCTCACCGGGGGTGTTTTGTGAGGAAAATAAGTACGACCTCACGCCTACAACAACACAGCTGGGCAAGGTCAAAAGCGCAAGCTGGGTCCTCTGGTGCCTCTTCAGTCAGCCTGAGCTCTTCTCCTCCAGCGGATGGACAAGGTCAGTATACCTTGAGTCCACATCTGACTGTGGCGTTTTGACATTCTATTGCTTACCAGTATATCGCTAGATTGGAACTCGAATGATGCATTTTTCACTTTCACCCGTGGCCGCTTTATGGTGGATGAGGCCGAGAATCTTCGCAAACGGGAGATCAAGTTCGACTTAAATCAGTTAGCACAGGTCGCCGCAGATGCGGTTGGTGCTTCTTGCTGCATTTCTGTCAAGAAATACCCAGATGGCATGTTCAACAAGGCCTTTGCCTTGACTATGGACAATGGTCGAGAAGTGGTAGCTAAAGTACCTAATCCAAATGCTGGTATTCCGCACTTTACAACGGCAAGCGAAGTTGCCACGATGGACTTTGTGAGTTCTCAATGCTCGGTCTTACATATATATTACTTCTCAAGTCTTGCTGACTTTCGGTCGATTGGATGCTCCCAAGGCAAGGAAAATACTTGATACACCAGCGCCTGTTGTCCATGCATGGAACTCGCAAGCTAAATCTCACCCGGTTGGAGCCGAGTTCATTATAATGGATAAGATGAAGGGTGTTCCTTTGTCTCAAGTCTGGGCTAAAATGCAGCTACCTCAGAAACTCCAGGTGTTACTGGCAGTAACACGCATGCAGAAGCGATGGCTGAGCGTGTTATTCTCCCATTATGGGAGTTTGTACTACGCAAGCGATCTCCAGACATCGGCTGGTAGCCATTATATTAAGGATGGGAAAGCCGTTATGGACTCGGAATTTGCTCTTGGGCCAGCTACAGGGCGAGAGTGGGTTGATGCGGGCCGAGCAAGTCTGGATATCGATCGAGGCTCATGTACGCGCGGTGCCCCATTCTTACTCTATGACTCAGTTGCTAACGGCTTCTAGGGACTTCATTGACACAGTATTTACGGGCAGTTGCGGATCGAGAACGAACAGCTATTAGGTTATTAAAACCTCCAAAGCAGATTGCCTTATTTTGTGGTCCAAGGCTCTACCAACCAAACCCGGAAACAAAGCTCACTGCCTTGTCGCACTACCAGCAAATCATCGACGCTCTTGCGCCGAGTGATGGTACTATCAAGTCACCGTACCTCTGGCATGATGATTTGCATGACGACAATATTTTTGTTGACCCTTCCAACCCGGAAGAAATCACAGGAATTATCGATTGGCAGTCGTGCCATATCTCACCTCTCTATAACCATAATCCTGACCCAGCCTTTCTCAGCTGGGATGGCCTTGAACCAGAGACACTCGATTTACTTCCACGGCCAAAACTCTCCGGACTTTCTCCTGAAGAACGTGCCGCGGCTCTGCACGAATATTCCTACCATAACATATTCATTGGGTGGAGGAAACTCATGCAAGCCAAAAATCCGGAGCTTTACGCAGCGGTTGAGTTTCGAAAGACAGCACCATACGGATTAATATTCCTTGCCCATAGGATGTTTGAATATGGTGAGGCGCACTTCGAGTCACTTCTAGCTGATCTAAAGGATACTTGGCCCGACTTGCCTGCCGTACCTAGCAACAAGCCGTTCCCATTTGACTTCTCTAAAGAAGAGTACGAGCGAATCAAGACCAGTTCTGACCACGCGGTGGCAGCTACCGACCTTGTCACAGAGGTAAAGGAGCAGCTTGGGGATTTATACCCAGATAAAGGATTTATTGAGCATGATCGGTTTGATGACTGCAAATCTGCTCTTGAAGACGTCAGGCTCCAAATCTTGGAACAGCTGGCCCAAAGCGAAGAAGAAAGGGCTGAGTTTGATCGTCATTGGCCGTTTAAATGAAGCATCCACTGATAGGGTTGGTTGTCCTAATAAAATTATCGGCGTGAAGCCTAAATAATGATAATGGAATCGTAACTAACCCAAGAGTCCCCTTTTAAGCTTAACCTAAACGTAGTGGAGAAAGGGAAAGTCTGCCGAACAGCAGATTTCCGGGGAGAAAGTAGTTAAGTTAACTAAGCCGAGGGATCGACTGCTTAGTCACTCGGCAGACCTTCCCCATCCAACCTAAGCCCGGGCTAGCCCTTCCTGCCCGCTGCCAAAATGCGTAGGTGGTCGCGTGGTGCACAAAACGGACAGGCTTTGGCGAAGGTTGCAAGATGCACGCTGCACGATGCCGGTTCCCTGGCCGGATTCCTTAGTTATACCGCTGATGGCGGCGGTTGGGGCGGCAGGATGATTATTAGGAAATGTAACTAGCCACTGCTCGCTAGTTATTTAATGCGCTCAAGTTCCCTCTCTGTTGGTTCCTCTCGGAGATATCAACACTATTACTATTAACAAAAGAAGTTATTCGTGATATATCGAATACCACCGCTTAATTCAAGTCAGCATGTCTCTAGATACGGATGCTCTTATTATTGGTGCTGGGATGTCCGGCATCGGATTCGCTATTCAGCTTCAGAAGGACTTTCCCCAGGCGAGCTATGAGATATTTGAGAAATCAAACGGTCTGGGAGGGACATGGTGGGCCAATACCTACCCTGGCTGTGGATGTGATGTTAGTCTCTCCACTGAATATACAACCAGACGAGTGATGTTTCTATTACTTTAGCTAGAGCGTCTTATTTTGCCATTACAAGCTAATATGTTTACTAGGTCCCGTCTCATGTATACTCATACTCATTCGATCTCAATCCGGAGTGGAGCATGAAATACGCTCTCCAACCCGAAATCCTAGCTTACTTTAAGTCAGTTGTTGATAAGCACAATGTTGCACCATATATCAGATACAACTCAGTTGTTCAGAGTGCTGGGTTTGAAGAAAAAACAGGGACGTGGCTGGTCACAGTAAAAGACCTCAAATCCAATATCACCAGACATCGACGATGTAAGATATTGATATCTGCAGTCGGTGCTTTGTCAATTCCAAAGGAATGTGATATCAAAGGATACAATACTTTCCGTGGAAAGTTATTCCACTCCGCACAATGGGATCACCAATTCAATTGGGCTAATAAAGATGTCATCGTTATTGGTAAGAGGTTTCGTCTTTCTCGCACACAGATACTCAATAAGGAGACTGACTCCTATTCATAGGTAATGGCTGCAGTGCCACACAGTTCGTGCCTATTATGACTGATGGCGACAACAAGGTTCGGAAGCTCACTCAGTTTATCCGTCAGCCGCATTGGGTGATCGAACGCCCCAATAACAAATATAGCCCTCTCTTCAAATGGACAATGCGTTATATCCCTTTAACAATGTGGGCGTATCGAGTATGGCACTTTAGCCGGCTTGAATACTCATTTCGTGAATTCTATCTCGAGTATGGGCGACCCCTTCGTGAAGACCAGACCAACACGCACCTAGAATATCTAAGGCGAACAGCACCAGCGAAATACCATGATGTTCTAACGCCGAAAATCGAATTCGGTTGTAAACGAAAGGTTATGGATACTGGGTATTTTGATTGCCTGCATCGGGAAAATATGGAGCTGATTGCTACAGACCCCATTGAAGAAATAAAGGAAACAGGTGTAATAACGAAGTCAGGGAGAACCATTAACGCAGATGCCATTGTTCTTGCAACAGGGTTTCAGACGCAGCAAGTCCTTCACCCCCTAGAAATTAGAGGCAAGAAAGGCGTCTCGCTGATGGAACATGTAAGGCATCCTCCCTCATTCCCCTTTGAGCTTTACGCATAAGTAACCATGCTCACTTTATGGTGTATAGTGGCAAGATTTCGCAGACAACACTCCGCAGGCCTACTATGGCACATGTGTATCTGGGTTCCCCAACTTTTTTATTATGATGGGCCCAAACACTGCAACAGGTCACCTGTCGGTGATATATACTTCTGAATGCCAAATAAACTTCGCGATCCGTGCGATCCGGCCCGTTATGCAATCCCTCTACCCATCCCCGCTTCAAGCCTTCAACCCATTTGGGGGAAGATCATGCGATACAGTTGCAGTAACTCCGAGGGCAGAGCAGGAGGATAACTCATGGGTTCAATCTGCCCTTAAAGGGTTCGTATGGGCATCCGGCTGCAGCAATTGGTACGTAGATGCATCTACCAGGAAAAACACGATGCTTTATCCAGATTGGCAGTTGAAGTACTGGTTGCGCAGCATATTCATACCATTCAAGTCCGATTTCGAGTTCAGCTCCAGCGAGGTACGGGTCATGGGTAAAAACAACGGACAAAAGGGCAAGCCATATCAGACCTCCATGTTGGTTGGATCAGGCTTGGGTCTTGCGGTTGTTGCTACATTCGCAGCAGGGATAAAATATGACACGAAAGTCAGGGATCTAGGATTCAAGGGAAGCCACCAGGTGGTCGCTTTTTGGAAGGACCTGATCGCCCAGCTGATCTCGTCCAAGGAATAATAATGTACATGTTCTGCCTGTTATGCAGTCGAAACAAGAACCTTACTTTCGTGACCTGGATGCTCGTGTCCTTCGCTTCTTCGGCACAGGCTCAGAAGCACTAGGGTTATCTTTAGGCCCCGTGTCTTCACCTTCAGATAGTTCTCTTTTGACAGAGATTCGAGTGGTAACTCGAATTCCATCTTCTTCCGCCTCCTCCTTCACTTGCGTTGCTTCTACTTTCGACTCAACTTTAAGGGTTTCTGTAGACTGGTCGTGGATCTCAGTTTTGGGGTTCAATCGGTCCGAGAAAGATCTGAGATTAGCTGTAAACAGAACACTCTGTGCCCAGCCAGCTTCTTTGCCCCATAGCTCTCTAAAATGGTCACCAACAGCATCATATGTTGCTTTGTTTAGAGTCTTGTGCTTCCCCTTTCCAAATTTATAGTCACGTTGAGCAATTTGCCAGACTATTTCATTTATGGAAAAAAAAGTAGTGAGTATTATATGACCATACCGTTGATATCAAATACTATGACTTACCATGAGTATCAACCGGAACTGACTCTCCCCAGCCGAGGCCCATTAGGCACACGCAATCCGCGACTTTTGGGCCAACGCCTTGCAGAGCAAGCAGCTGTTCATGTGCCTCTCTATAGCCGGATTCATCACCCTTAGCCCCGGACCCAGGTGTTGCAGGCTTCTCGTTAAAGGCAGGCTTTTCGGGGTTCCGCAAGCTGTTCAACCATCCCGGCTCCCGTTGGTTTGCCACAATGTTTGCCGTCTGATAGATATATTTGGCCCTATACCCAAATCCAAGCTCCCGCAAATGCGATTCAACACCGGTACCAGTCAAGGCTGAAGGCTCCGGGAAATCATAATATTTCTGGTCGCCCAATTGGCCAATAAACGGGCCATAGTTGATGCATAGCTTTTCCACCTGTCGAGCCAAGGTTTAGAGCGTGAATTTATTGAATATATAACAAGACGTGGGCTTACCATCTGGGATATACGAGCTATGTTGTTATTACTGCTGCAAATGAAAGACACAAGAGTTTCCCAAGCATCCTGTCTCATGATCCGGATACCAGCAAACTGCACTGCTTTCTTTTTGAAATTCGGATCAGAAGTTGCCCATTGTTCGTATAAATCTGACAGATTATACTCTAGATTGAAATAATGATGGATCAAAGCCTCTGTATCGTCGTCGTCGGGAGTTGTACGTTGTGTTGTCGCATTAGAGGCTGGGGGAGTAGGAAGCGTAGATGATTCGACAGACGAAGGTTTGAATGATCTGTACCAAAGTGAGTCCGAGTCCTGTTTCAAGGATAGGACACGCCCGTAGAGCGAACATGTCCACTCGTCGTCGAGCTTTCGCCAGCTGCATTGCATCAGTTAGTTAGTTAGCCAGTAAATCCAGGAACCAAACCAAATGCACATCCAGTGGGTCGTTTTCTTACCGAAAGCTTTGCCCACACCGAAGAGTAGTATCGATGCACAGTTCAGTTAACGTCAACGGCAGCTTGCGCCACTCCGAGAATCTGCCAATTGACATGTTTAGATGCTAATGTTGCTCTTTATTTTCCATCGCCGTCTTGTTGTCGCGACGTCAAAACTTGAACCTTCCAGATACCGATAAGCTTATTATGTAAGCACAGTTATGCCAAGGCCGCGTCCCAATGTGGCTTAAGCTGGACATCGAGAACTTCTGGCTCAGATGGACATTTCAGCCAAAAACTTCTGCAAAGCCGCAACAGACGCAATATCAGCTCCTAACTGCGGTGTCCTCCCTTTTGTGTATCTTAGCCTGGGTGGAATTGTGTGGCGCGCGTGCTCTGGAGCTTCATTATACTTAGCGTTGGACAAATCCCGCTGCATTCAGCTCTTTCCATAACCTGTCTTGAATCAGCTAACAGGATGAACGGCGAAGGTTATAGCGGAAGAGGTAAGCTTATTCTGCAGCATGTTGTTGATCTAAATTTGTATCTGTTCTTGACTAATGGTTTGATGATCAGAGAGCGGTCGCTCGAGGGATTATTATGTGAGTTTATGGCCACCCATATTCCTACCAAACGAATACCCAGTTTCTGATGGTTACGGACTTTTTAGGGAGGCCGATCCGGCAGAGACGACCGTCGAGATCGTGGTGAGAGGCGTGAGAGAGGTGATAGAGGTGACAGGGAGCGGAGAAGGTCAAGGTCACCTCATCATGGCTCCAGGTCGTCGCGTCGAGATGGAGAGATGGATTCGTACTCTTCCAGCCGCGACTACCGAGCTAGAGAACGAGAAGATCGATACCAAAGCCGACGAGATGACAGGGGCGACTGGGATAGAGATAGAGGAAGTGACAGAAGGCGCGAGCGGCGAGGTGACGATGACGACCGGTCTCGACGCGACCGGGACTTATTTGAGGAAAAATCCCGTGGCGGTCGCGGAAGAGATAGAAAACGGAGCGCAACACCGCCCCCCAAGAAAAGAGAGCCTACGCCTGATCTGACTGACGTCGTCCCGATCCTTGAACGAAAACGCCGATTGACTCAGTGGGACATCAAGCCTCCTGGGTATGAAAACGTAACAGCGGAGCAGGCGAAGGTGTCAGGGATGTTCCCACTACCAGGCGCACCGCGTCAACAAGCAGTTGACCCAAGCCGGCTACAGGCCTTTATGAACCCTCCAGCTGCTTCGGGGTCAAGCAACAACACTCTTCTCAAACCCTCTAATTCCAGGCAGTCAAAGCGACTCTTTGCGCATAACATCCCACCAAATGTCACCGAAGATACCCTGCAACAATTCTTCAATTTGCAGCTCAATGGTCTAAATGTCATCAGCGGTGTCGATCCCTGCCAGTCTGTACAGATCTCAAAGGATGGGAAATTTGCACTCCTAGAATTTAACACTGCGGCTGACGCAACTGTTGCCTTAGCGTTCGATGGCATCACCATGGAAGAGCATGAAGCTAACAGAGAAAGCAACGGGGAATCAAATGGAGACGTAAAGGGTCTGACGATAGTGCGGCCGAAAGATTACATTGTTCCTATCCCAACGGATGAGGAGCCACGTCAAGAGGGTGTTGTATCGAGCAACGTACCCGACTCACCTAATAAGATTTGCGTATCAAATATTCCTCCATTCATCCAAGAGGACCAAGTCACCATGCTTCTTGTTTCGTTTGGTGAATTGAAATCTTTCGTTCTTGTCAAAGACGTTGGAACTGACGAGTCCAGGGTACGCATTTATCCCGTCTCCAACATATCGTTAATATATATATATATAAATATATATACATATGCTAACCGAGTTCACTAGGGAATTGCCTTCTGCGAGTATCTTGATCCAGCATCGACTGGAATTGCAGTTGAAGGGCTCAACGGCATGGAGCTCGGAGATAGGAGACTTAAAGTTAACCGTGCAAGTATTGGCACCGTACAAGCTGCCGGACTTGATATGGGTGTCAATGCGATGTCCATGTTTGCGAAAACCACCTCACAGGATCTTGAAACCGGGCGAGTGCTCCAGCTGCTGAATATGGTGACTGCTGACGAATTAATCGATAATGAAGACTATGAGGGTAAGATTTTGCCACTTTTCTAGCTACTCTGTGACGGTTTCCACTAATAATATATCTTGTCTGTCATTTAGAAATTTGCGAAGACGTACAGGAGGAATGTTCCAAATACGGAGTAGTTGAAGAGCTTAAGATTCCCCGTCCTTCTGCCGGTAGCAGGCAAGCTGCCGGTGTAGGAAAGATTTATGTCAAATTCGACTCACCCGAATCTGCGACCAAGGCCCTTCAAGCTCTTGCTGGCAGAAAGTTCCAGGACCGTACTGTCGTTACTACTTACTTTTCAGAGGTAAGCCATCCTAATTCTAATCTGTGCCGTACCTGTTTCATCTTCTGACGCTAACCACTATTACAGGAGAATTTTGAAGTCAATGCCTGGTAAATATTGCCGAGCTTATTTGCCTGGCGGATCTGATCTATATCGCTCGGAGCTATCTTTAACCGCCATTTTCCAACGAATGGTATGAAAACACAGGTCACATTGTGTCTCTTTGGCTTTTCCCTAATCCCACCTTGCGGTATACTTTATTCTTCTGTCCTTTTTTTTTTTTTTTTTTT